TTCGTTTATGTATCTTTCTCTTTCGATAGTATTACAAGAAATGATAGTGATTCCGAAGAGTTTTGAAATCATTTTGAATGGTTTTTTGAATATTTCTTATTAATAGTAAACTGATCTAGTTGCTACTTTTTGTTGTAGATTTTTCAATCACACTTCGATTTTCTATTCACCTTTAGATAAAGTTTCGTGGAAAGCTATGTTGCTATTCTATTCAAAAGTTATGATATTCCCAAATGCATTCATATAAGTTACAAATCTTCACCATTTTACCAAAAACTTATATGCCTTAACAGCGTTAAATACATTGAACTATGTACAATACGGGACTCCTCAGAAGTGCAAATTCACGATTCCGTACTCGGGATTCGAATCCAGGACCTCCGGTCTCACATGCAAACGCTTAACATATATATCAATGGATCGGCAGTTACTCACTGAAGACAATGTTGAACGGTCATTCAATATCGTGGGTTGGTTGGAGTTAGATATTAATACCGTTGGATGCCGGCCCAGTTCTCTAGAGGTTAGGCATTCACGTGCAAGACCGAAGGTCCTGGTTTCGAATTCCGAGGGCAGGACCCTGAATGCTCACTGCTGAGTAGTCCCATATTAGAACGAGACCGCGGTCCAGTGCTTCCAGGTTTTCGATAGTGATCTAACATTGATCCATTCATGATATTAATCTAAATCTAACAATCTTCACAATCCTATACTAATTATGTACAATAATCAAATATTCAATTTGATTACATAAAAGTTCATAATAATTGAAAGTTAAATATTACGATGTAATGATTCTTAGTGTAAATTATATATAAAACAATAGGAAAACACATTTGCATTTTTTCACTCACTATAAATGATTTGAAATTAAGAATCACTAGTTTTTTTTTCAACTAACAAACTAAACCAATTATACTTCAGATTAGTAAACGAGCAAAACCCATATACACTTCTGACATTTCAGTTTTAACACCTTTAAACATTCTGGTAAATAACACAAAAACAACAAATTCGTACAAACCAGTTGAGGAGAACCTGTTATAATATAATGATGGTCTAATGTTAGAAAATATGTTCACCTTCATGTTTGAAAATACTGAACAGGTCAGACTTTAGAAAAATCAAACTAGACTAATGAATTATGCAATCCATCCTTTGAAGTGACTTATTCACATCTGCTAAATATAAATTCAGCTCAATTAAATAATACACAATAACACATAAATGTCTCACGAAGCACTTGATTAGTAGAACCTTAAGGAATTTGTTTAGTCTACTTGAAATTCATATCCTCTTTCCTTTCTTTCTCCCACCTTATCATTCCAGAGAAGTAACCTAAAACGTTTTACATCCATTCGGATCATTAAAGATTTAGTTCATTTTGATTTAAAGAAACCTTTCAACTATGATAGAAAATTATGATAAATATGACTTTTATGAACAACATTTTGTTATTAGAAATACAACCAATTGTATTCATTAAATTTCCTCTCAATAATCAAAAGTCATTTCATGTTGAACTTTCTATAATTATACAAATAACGTTAATACACTACAGTAGTTATGTGTATTTAGTTTGACAGTGATGAGATATTATTATTATTATTAATATGTCAAAAGTATTCGATTCACTCTAATGAATAATCATTTCAGAAGTGAATGACTAGTAAATGTTTACTAAAGTAAACTTTTGTACGCCTACATAGTTTATAAAGTGTTTGTTATATTAAAATACAATGACCTATTATGTACAATAAAAATAAGCGTTTAAACACTTTTCAACAAATGAGACATAAATTTTAGTTCCCACGATTTTATAAATTAATCAGAATATTAATCTGTCATCTTTACTATTACTCTTGAAAACCATAATAAAACCTGAAATGAACAAAATATTGATGGGTTTTACTTTTCTATCTTTGAAGATTGATCCTTTTTAGGTATAGATTAAAATGAAATATTCACAAGAATATACCATACAAATAAATAAATAACAACTCCACCTGGAGCCCCTTTGGGGCTACTGCAGGTCCAGAGCCCGGATAAAGGAGGAGTGTTGGATATGGGGTTACCGACCCCATTCCGTAGAAAATTAACACGCTATAAAACTCTAACCAGAAAAAATTATTCAAATAATTAATTTCACTAATACTAAACTATTTCACTGTTATTATTATTTTATATCAGACAATACATCAGTGTAATTAGATTATCTTAATCTGATAAGAGGGAAGTAGTTGGACATTTTTTAAAGTATTTTCTCGATACAGTTGATTAAAACAAAAATATTTTCCTATTTCAGTTTATTAATGATAAAATAGTTAAAATTCCATAGAGATATGATGTAATATATGTAAGTTAACATTTCAAGGAAAACTGGTTAAAAGTAGATTGGTAGGTTTAAATTTTCAGCAATGTTTCCCGCTGTCTTATTTTGAAAATAATCAAATCAATATTTGTAAATAAGTTTGTATAATAATAAACGAAGAGAGCAATGGTTCTTTAAAAACGTGAACATATTTCATTCATTCAGTTTGTACAATGTACCTATATTTCCCACTTGATTGAGAGGTATTTCATTAAGTGTTTGCAAACTTTTTATCATCATTATGATTCAAAAAAATTTGTAAATTGTTCTGACGAATAATACTAAAAGTAAGTACAATTGCAGCTAATGAAGTACATCAAAGCAAGCTTACTATGTACAAGTATTTATAAACAACTTTTTCTATACATAATACTCAATGTTCGTTGATCAGATACCCTCAGCAACAACCTAGTATGGAAGAGAACAAATCGGTTTCCATCTGAAGAGAAAATTAGCAAAGGAGGTTGGAAGTGGATAATGAGGCAAGCACTAACTTGGAGTCCTGAAGAGAATTGGAAAAGAGGAAGGTCAAAGAACACGTTAAGTCCAGAATTGGAAGCAGACATGAGAAGGATGAATAGCAACTGAAAAGGATTGCCCAGGACAGAGTTGGTTGGAGAATGCCGGTGAGCGGCGTATACTTCTCCACAAGAGGGAATAGGCGTTAGTAAGTAAGTAAGCTTACTATGTAACCAAAATAATATACACCTGTCGATCTTACTGTGTTGCGAAATTTACATAAAGCTTTTAACCCAGTAGTACTTTGGTTTAGTATAAAAGGATATTCGACATAATGAATCATTCTGATAAACTCTCATTACATTGTTAAGTCGATACGTGTTCCCTTGAGAAACCAAATGGCAAAACCTTTTACTAGTTAACACCGAGAAACTGTTGGGACGAACTCAACTTTATTATCTGAAAAAAATTCAGTGTTGTCGCACGATGGTAATACCTAAATTTTAAGATGCAAAATGAGAACGTTTATGATGCCTACAGATTGGATGAGTGTTAAACGTCAGTTTGTTGTCGTTCGAGATCAGTGCTTTTAAAAAACAGTTATTTGGGACAAGGAGAGCAATAACCATTCAAGTTATTTTTAATGGTATGTATTTATATAGTAAAGTAGATGGAATGTTTGAAGATTATACAATTTTCACGTTTAAATCACAAAGTGATCTTATCTAGAGCATCATTAAAAATATGAAAGGACAGAACAGTCATTTTGTCCTAGTATGGGATCGCTGAGCAGTATATATCCAAAACGCCTCCGTGGGATTCGAATCTGAGACCTTGATTTTCGAGCGTGAATATATACCAACAGGTTGGTAACCAAAGATATTCATCTCTACCTCCAACCAATCCTTAGTAATGAGTGAACTCTATCTATCGTCTATGGACTATAACAATTGCACACGCAACACGGGTCGAACTCCACTCGTAATAGCTTCTCACTGGAACTTGAGGAGTACATCTTGAAAGCACATTATCATTATCATTAGTATATTGGATTTATGGAAATTGTTCAATGTTTACAATTTTAAATCATGAACTGAGTAGTATGTTTGATTATACATTTAAGCTTGGAGAATATTTCTACTGGTTGTACGCCAAAGGTCTATTATTAGAATTAAATTATTTACATAGTGCACGTTAGAAAATAGTAGAAGAAACTAATGTAACTTTCATTTTATATTCATGCCTATTAAATAAAGATCATTGTGCTAGTGTTGATTTTAGTTTACAAGTATGCATGAATTAGCTGATATCGTTGAAACTCTATATACAACAAACTATATATACGACATGAAACTCGAAAACTTACAATTTATCATCAGAAATCTAGTAATGATAAGATTGAAGAAAACATGTATCATTGAAACTGATCAATAGAGTTTAAAATAATCACCAGTTGAATAAATAAAAGAACACATTGACATCACCATACATTTCTTGTTTAATTCTTTATCTTGGTATGTTTTAGTGATTTTATTAATAAATGAGGACTTTGATCATCTTCAATTTTACTACTGATAAGTATATATAATCCCAAACGATCTACTAATTTCACATTATATTATTTACTGTCTACCATGACTGTTCAAAAACGTTTAATGATTATTCATTCAATAAATTTAGTGCCTTAAATGAAAAACTAAAAATGTTCTATTTAATGAAATCATACTCCATTTGTATATGAAGTGATAATTATAACTCAGCAACTTTAAATAAATGAGAATTCACCAATATTAACAGTTTTACAGAATAATAAATAAAAACTTTCGTCTAAATTTGATCGAATAATTTCACAATATTTGGGCGCCGAGTCAATATGAGATATGAAAGAGGAAGAGTGTATTTGTAAAATCTCAGCGATAGAATTTGAAGTAAATCCAACGTTTTGCCTAACAATCTGGTTCAAGCTTTTTCAAGGACATTGGATTTACTTCAAATTCTTTCGCTGAATTTTCACAAATACATTCTTCCTCTTTAATGTTTAATAGTTTTACATTGATTAATCAACAGAAAAAAGAGAAAAATAAAATGAATGAAATTAAAGTTTTTTAAAACAAAAAAACCACCTAAATATTGATCATTGAAACTAATATGAATTAATCATTACACTAACCTTTAATTGTTTGACATTTATAATATGCATTTGAATAATAGATTGCAATAATTGATGCAATAATTAAAAATAATAATATTAAAATAAGTAATAAAATTAATAGAATGAATAATAATTTAGAAACTCCATTTTTAGTTTGATGAACTTTTGTTGATGTTGTTGAAGAATTTAATGGTATAATAACAGTATCTAATGCATCACCATCTTGATTATTAGATTTATTTATATTTGTCATTTTCATAGGATCACGTCTTGTTTTATTGTTATTATTATTATTGCTTGACATCAATAAGATAATGTAAACAACTATGAATCCTTATATTATAACTATTAATTTATATATGTATATATTTCCAAAGTTTTCACCTTCAAGAGAAATGAAGGTTCGTTTTCTTTCTTGACTTATTCAAGAGAATGATTGTTTGTTTGTTTGTTTGTTTTTTGTTTACTTTTTGTTCTCACCTTGTTTTATTAACGCAATTTGACTTCACTAATAATGTTTTTTTTTAATTTATTCAATAATTCCAATAACAGTAATAATAATAATAATAGTAATAATTATTATTCATTTTTCTCAATGAATAGGGATGTTTCATTTAAACTGATTGTTTGTTTATTTGATAAGCATAATAAGACACATTAATCAATATAAAAATAGATTTGATGATTGTATCTCCTTTTGTAAGAAAAAAAATACAGTAGTTATGCTATTTTTTAATTAATTAATTAATTAATTAGTTAATAATAATAATAATAATTGAAGTAGTTGCCTAATGATAAAATATACATTTAGAAGTTATCATAGATCAAAACATTATCTTAATCAAATATTGTATTCATTCTATTTATGATTATTGCTATTCAATGTTATAATTGTTTATTTTTTTTTATTCAATATATATTTATTTGTCTGAATGATAAAACCATACAATTTGGTTCTATTTATTCACAATTGTAATAATCTAATCAATGAATATCATGACTGTGCTCTGTCTCAATATTTTCCCATTGTAGACAAACAACAGAAGCATAGATACACTCATATATATATCTGCATATATATATAGATATAGATATGTATACAAACATGAACCTGCACAAGTACATTTATACAAAAACCTATATGTCAACTTATATATTTATATAATTTAACAACTAGTTACATAGATACATATATACAATATAGGTGATAAACACGCATTATTTCCATAGGGTTATATAGATTTTGTACCTGTCCCTAGAAAAATACAATTAACCACTAAGAGAAATTTTAGAAATTGATGCAACAATTGATAGAATTATAAGTTACTGTTAATAAAATACATGTCTGTATAATTTTGAATGTGTTCGTATTACTAATGCCTGTTTAGAATAATTAGTTTATCTATGACTATTTTATATTTACTGAATAGTACTACTAATATTATTAACATATTTAAAACGACCATTTTATTTTAAAATGATACAGGACATCAGGTAGATACCTTACAATCCTTTAGGGTGATTAGTAAGCAGCCAAACTCCAGTCTTCTGAAGTTTTCTGAAGCCATTGCCATCAGTCGTCAAAAACCTGACCTATGTATTCAAAAGGAGACGGTGGTTAATCTTTCCTTGCCCTGGTGACAAATATTCCTTCTCTGCACCAAAAAAAAATTTTTCTTTTTTCTTTTGCATTTATTACATTATTGACTCTATTTTATTTTTTCAACTATCAAATTAATGATCTTTCAACTGAATTCTACTCACTACATTCCTTCAATATTATTCATTATGTAATCGATTGTTTCTAACCCACTTTTGAACTGTTGTCACAATTAATGTTGTAGAATATTCTTTCACACTAGGTATATATTTACAATATTCTGTAACCAATTTAAACCCATTATGTAATTATGATTTTTAAATATCACAGGTTGTAAGCAGCTGAAGAGAACCTACGAAATAAAATGAATTCATGCTATTCTGCTAGAATCTTTGTTCTTGCTCTTTTAAAATGAATGATTGATTCTTTTCACTTTCAATATTTGAGATCATAAGTTAATTGAAGCTAGGTTATCATCAAAAATCTGGAAGCATTGGATGGCTGTTTCATCCTATTGTGGGACTCCTCAGTAGTGCGCATCTACGACCCTTTCACACGCGCGAGCGCTTAACCAATAAACCATTTAATTATATATTTACAAAGAATTCTATTCATTAATCAAAGTATTACTCAAATGCTTCTTTGAATTAATGAGTTGTATTTTCATGGTAAATTCTTTCAGAGTTGTAAAACGCAAACAAAAATAAAGCTTGAATTATATATGAAATAATAATATTTTCTACGAATATTTGTCAAGATTAGAATGAATAACTAATGTAGTATAAATTTATTTTAGATGAAATGCAAAAATAATTAAAGTATAGTGATGATAACCGTTTCCAGGTAGGATAAATACAGGTGTGACTAAAAGACAAAAAGAGGCCATCAATTTATTAGGAAGTGTGATGTTAACAAATACATGTTTTAAAATGTTAGAAACAACTTTAAAAATTCATTGAATATTTTTAAAGATGTTTGAAAACTAACTTATATCAACGTAGTCATTAACGATCCCGCTCGAGGGATTCGAACCAAGGGCCTTCAGTTTCACGCGCAAACGCTTAACCTACTGAACCACTGGGCCGGCATCCAATGATGTAAATGTCTAACCTCAACTAATCCACTGCTGAGGAGTCCCACAACAGGACGAAACGGTCGTCCAGTGCTTCCAGGTTTCCAAAGGTGGTCTAACATCAGTCGGTTCATGATCTCAATCAAAAACTTAATAATATCCACAACCCCTGTACTAGTAATCATTAGCATTTATAAGCTGAAATAAATCAAGTTGTTTGTATAAAAAGATTTTTCAAAAGCTTTAAAGATTGAGATTTACGTAAACGCGATTTACCTGTAACATGAACTTATATATTAATGTTTTTTATGTATTCCCATTAAAAAACATATATACAACTTTTGATAGATCGATCATTCTAACAGTTGAGATCATGTGTCATTTGAACCTATATCATCATGTAAAATTAGGAAGTACTGGACAATCATTTCGTCCTATTATGGGCCCCTTTAACAGTGCACATCCATGATCCCACCTCACAAGATTCGAACTCAGGAGATCAATAATTGTTTTATTCACAGTGTACAAATACAAAAAGTAACCATGATTCTTCTTTTATTCTACCTCCTAATTGCTCACTTTATCAATTCAAAATTTGCAAAATATATTTTTTTCTCTATGTGGAAATTTTCAATTTCATTTCAGTAATAAAAAGAAACGTATTCACTATGTTCCACTGAATAAAACAGCAATTCCTCCTTTTTTTAAATGAAAGGATATTTACTCAAAACTTTTTTCAATAATCCATTGATTGTGTTTATATTTTACACATTAGTTTTCACTGTAAAATACACAACTATTTTTAATAATAATAATAATAATAAAGTAGTATGTGAAATGCTAAAATGATATCTATGGCAGTTTGCTAAGCTATCTTCTCTTACCATCTAGATATTTCAACAAGTTATCTGTTTTTTTTGTTTGTTTTAATACATCATTATAGCTATTAATCGTATAATCTATTCAGGTGCATTTCTGAAAAGTGTACAACCTTTCGTTGTACAAGTTACAAAAAGCCCAATAAGAGATATTGTAGTTGCTGGTAATATACAGCGAAAAAAATCAATATTATTTAGATGTCGAATGAGTGGAATGCTAATTTCTAATTGGCAACTACTCAATATTTATTGTCAGCATTGACCAAGAAGTAAGAAACGGAAACTTGTTGAAATAGTTTGTGCTTAGAATTCTATATTGTACCAAAAATATAACACTGAATAAAGTTAATAATAACAATAGTATCTGAAATAAATGTGATCAGAAAATAAAGAAAATAACTAATATTAATGAATATCAATTAATTAATGGAATTGAATGTCTTAAGTAATCGAATAACAATTAACTTTTTCACTCATTAATATAAACTACAAGGAATTTGACAGTTTTGCATAATATAAAATTATAAATGACTGTTAGATTGTAGCTTCAAAAATAAAATAGAATTATGTAACAATACACAATAGATCTTAACAAAAAGTTGTTAACATGATAACTACATTCCAACAAAAGTGATAAAATGTTCATTTGTACAACTTTAAACATTCATTCTGTACATACTAGATCATTTCAATATATATAAACGTCTAAATAATCGTACGCCTATAAAAATAATTGTTTACTCATTGTAGCTTTCAGTATAGCGCAATTAAATTATCTTAAAAACTAAAAGTACCTTATGTTGTTACATATGAATACCCTTTTTTACATTTATTTATAAGCTATACTTCTTCGTATCAAGAAAAAACGTTAACGAATTTGTGATCTAGGAAATCTTATATTCATTAACATTCTCGTCGACTGGATACTCGGGTATTGACCTCCTTCCAGGAGGTCCACTTATCGACTTAGAATACACAGATGACATAGTCCTGTTTGGTGAAGACGCTGACAAAATGCAGAGTCTCCTGGTAGCACTAAGCAACAATGCCAGAATGTTTGGAATGCGCTTCTCTCCCTCCAAATGCAAGTTGTTGCTTCAGTACCGGTCTGCGTCAACACCTGAACTAAGAATAGGCAGTGAAGTAGTGGAACGCGTTGACAACTTCACTTATCTTGGAAGTCTGATCAGCCATAATGGGTTAGTGTCTGACGAAATCTCAGCACGGATTCGAAAACCTCGTTTGGCTTTTGCCAACTTGCCTCACCTATAGCGAAGGCGAGATATCCGTCTATCAATAAAAGGACGAGTATACTGCGCGGCAGTCCGTTTTGTTTTAATTTACGGCAGCGAAACATGACCACTAAGAGTAGAAGACGCCCGTAGGCTACTAGTATTTGACCACGGATACCTCAGAAATATTGCTGGCGTCTGCTGGGATCACCATGTAAGTAATAGTGAGGTTAGACGCAAGGCATTAGGGAATGATGGTAAATCAGTTGATGAGGTTGTGAATCTTCATCGACTGAGATGGTTGGGCCACATGTTACGTATGCCTGAACACCGATTACCACGACGTGCAATGCTAACCGGTGTTGGAGATGGTTGGAAGAAAGTTAGGGGCAGCCAAACCAAAACGTGGCATCAACGCTTGGAGACACTAACTTCTGATATGAGTCATGTTGGTAGATGCAGACTACTTGGTTGGGGTCGACGTGACTATCGTAACCAATGGTTGGAGACTATTGGTGACAT